ATGATAAAATTTTTGCGATCACGTGACGATCTTCAACAAATTATCCAATAAAGAATCTTAATTTGGTGTAACATCACACGATCAAAACAAACGTTCGTTTAGAAAAAATTGCCTTTATCTCGAAAATTTGCTTAAGAAACAATTCTTCATGCACTAACAAAAAAAATTCCTTGAGAAATTCTACTATATCCCCCTTAACATCCAACTTTAGTTTAAACGCTAACCCTAACATAAAAGAACTTAAACAACTTTATCTATCATCACGTGATCGCAAAAATTTTGTTGGCGCACCTGGGGAAGATAACAGTTATCACGTATCAATCGTGAAGATTGACTAATATAATAAAAAAACTCGCGCATTTTCACTGCAGAAACATTTGCTTATTTTGTCAATCGAGAAGATCTTTCGTGATTAGAAAGATCGAACCATTATTTCCAAAAATAATGCTCATGAGTGTACTCGAAATAACGCGCTGATATCCGTTATTTTGAGAACTTAAGGTAAGTTTTATTATTATTTATTTGGTCGAGTATATTACGCACTATATAGTATGTCGCTGATTAGCATTTAGGCGGTACTCATATTACAATAGATCAATGCAAAAAAAAAAAAACAAAGATTAGAATGAAATTAGAAACTTTTACTGAACTCATTTTATTCGTGTAACAAATCAATTTTGTTTTGTTCACATAATATTTGTGGAGGATTTTTACCGGTTAATACAATACATTAAAAAAATAAGGGGAATTTACAAATAAGGGCCCGGAAAGTGAAAATAATTACAATACGGGCCCAAATTAAAAATAATTACATATAAGGGCCTAATTTTTAAAAAATATTACACATAAGGGCCCAAATCTATTGATGGCTGAAAAAATGTGATCACGGAATTACTGCGCCACAAAGTACTATTACCATTTGACTTATAACGATTGCAAAATCGCGATTATAGGATTATCGATTGTTTTATTATAGGCATTTAGAGTTATCTATATACTGATTATTAGATAAAAGAATAAATGATGCACTGGTTATAATCATTTTTGTTTAAATATTGTATAAAGAATAGCGTTAAACTAGCACAATTTATAAGGCGAAGAAATTTCAACAGAGTAGCTCTCTAGAGCTGGACGAACATCTCCCATATTGTAAATGTCATGCCAATTCGCAGTACTTTACTTGACATCATAGTGGTTTGTTATAATAAGCAATTTTATACAAAGAAAATGAAATTTATTAAATTTAAAAAAATTCTTTTCTTATTTATAATTGCTAATTTACACTTAACTATATTTATCGATGTTTACATTTCAAAAAACGATCATGCCACAGGCTTGAATAAGTTGCAGATATTTTGGGTCTTTATATGTAATATTTTTTAAAAAAATTATGCCCTTATTTTTAATTTTGGCCCGTATTTGTAATTATTTTCACTTTCCGGGCCCTTATTTGCAAATTCCCCCAAAATAAACATTTTGGATTCTTATTCTGTTGACCCGGCCGGGATATGAAAACCGATTTCATAAGTTTGTATGGTCTTAAATTTGAATTTTAGCCTAAATACAGAAATAATCAAATTACTTCATATTTAAATTTTTCGGATAAAACTGAAACATCTACCTTTTAAATTTCCATGATGTCAAAAATATAATACAGTACGATTAAGATCATTGGTATAATAAATAATTGAGCAGCACCGAGTAATTTCTTAACAATAATCTTTATTAAGTATAAAAGGTACGTACATATTAAGAACAAGCAATCATAATTAAGACAAAAGATATTATTTGCAAACTTACGAGTAATAGTCATGGGATAAATCTCGTCAATTAAAACCGTCGTATTATAATCCATTAAAGCACTATATTGTTATATTTCAATAATGTATTAAGTCTTGAGATATTTTGTCGATGCTTTTCTTTGACAAATTTGTGGTATCCTTAATGTTAAACATTTGCAAGGTTCCAGTGGACATGTCTTTCTCGAGATCGTTTGCGGCAGTTGGTCCCGTTGTCTTCGACGGCGGCTATTCATGAAATTTTAGTCGACCAGCAGAGCTGAGAGAAAGAAACCATCCGGTGTTAGACGGATAATGCCATAAATTATGACGATACTTAGTATAAGAATAATGCAAAAGAAATATTACTTGAAGAAATATATCGCTTGTTTTCTAAGAAAAGGTAACAATAGTTTATATATATATATAGATTACAAAAAGACAATATATTAATTATACAATAATTTATTACCAGTCCATAAATTTTTATCAACACCCAAAAGAGCTTCATTCGAATCGCTATATTATCTCAATAATTACATAATAAAAACCGTTAGGCTCGTTAAAAGTATTTGGAAGCACTTGTATTATAACTATTTTATTGTCATTTGGATCAAGGCGCAATTAAATCGTTGGTGTAGTAAGTCATTAGATCCGATGATTTGTTTGTACATTGAAATGTTTGAAGTGGAGAGAATCACAGGATAGGTGTATGTAGACAGGATTTGTCTCATGAATTCGTTTACTTGAGAACCTATAATCGGATTATTGTATCCATTATATCTTTATATTTTTAACAGAAATTAGAACTATAACGATCGATAGCAACTAATGATAATTATACAATAATATATATAACAGTAATAATAGTAACGATAATTACGCAATAGTTCTTAAAAATCGGACCAATCGGTATTTTTTTTACCTTAATCTATACAAATCATCACGTATTATGCTCCAAATTGAATTATCTTTACAACGATTGAATTATTCGTAAGCACAACATAATTACTTTTATGTAGAGGAAGATAAGAACATAACCAAAATTAGTATATAATGTCATTAGATAACCACCGAATCGAAGAGGAATGAGAATAAACCCATTAGTAAAGTTTACATTCCCCTATTTTTGTAGGATTTTTTTAAAAGAAAATATTAATTTGTTAATTTTATTATTATTATTTTTTATTTTATTATTATTTTTATTTTTTATTTATTTATTTTTTTATTTTAAGGTATTATAATATTAACAATGAGTTACTCAGAAGAAAGATAAGATCTTTTTAAGAGGGTAGGTCGGGAAGTTGTATTTGTGATATTATTTTGGAAATCATATTAACATACATATATTCTCTGCACTATCAAAATCAACATTGCATATAAGTTCTCGCGATGTTGAAGTTTGAATTAATGTCTGAGAATTATTCGACTTTAATATTTGTGTGGGAATTTGATCTATTAAGAATGAACCCCCTTTACATATTGGTTTCCAAATAATAAAAGATTACGTACACGCCGTTAGTCGTACTAACATTAAAACTATTAATGTAGAATTAAGACTAGTAGGAGAATCGTCTCCTCCATAAGCTATGGCAAAACCTCTTTCTAGCACATAAAAAGCAAAGAAAGATACGATTTTAGTAAGGTATAAGGGAGATGGAGGTATTGTGGACATCTCAGGATCTAGTGATTAAAACTGAATGATTTTGTCATTTAATTTATAAGTTTAAATATGCGCAAAAGTGTATATTTTGCATATAGCAATACCATTAGATTTGTTTTTTAAAAGATGAATGCTAAGTAACTTTTGATACATCAGCCTGTTTTTGGATGATTTTACTGCCAAAATGACCGTCTCCATGAGACGTGTATAAAATCTCTAAAACCCAATCACGGGATCCAGAGATCGTTATAGATTTGTCTAAATTAATGTTACGGATTATCGTGAAATCAGATTATCGTGAAATTTGGGGGTCTCGATTTGAAAATATAAGCCCTACCAAAAT